CCGTTCCTGTGCTCCGCATTATCGGATAAAAAACGAGGGCGTAGTGAAACGTCGGGCATTTGCTTTTTTTATGACAGAACCGGTAAACTTTGTTTCTCTTTATTTCGTTTACGAACTCCGTAAACAAAATTAATTAAATTCCGTGTGGTGTCCCTCTAAACTTTATTGACACAAAATTTAATAGCTTCTTTCTTATGGAATGTTTTATTAGATTCTCCTTCTGGTCAAATTATTCGTGTTCATGACACAGTGGAACGCGAAAATCTAATATTTCCTCGTGCACTACGAGGCAGGAGGCCTCTTGCAGAAAACTGTGGGCGAATATTTAATACAGTTATGTAGCGGCCTATGTATATTAATTCCTTTTAATTACATTCCTATCCCTCGCAGAGTCCTGTAGGCTCCATCTTTGCCACCGCGCAACCGCAGGTTCTTAAACAAAGCAACAGGAATTTAATTTCAAACCTTTGAAGGCTGCTCTAAGAAAAACGTACAACCCGCGTTCATAAATTTAACTAATGCATATTCCCCATCTCCCGATCGTGCGATTTCCTAATCGGATACTTTAAGAAATTACTAGGCAGAACTAAAGTTGTTTACGTAAAATATAGGTCGTTAGGTGATTCCATAAAGTTAGTCGTAACTTTTGAAAAAAATGATTGATTGTAAAACCGATATCAGGGAGTTAGTGGAAGATTAACTTCCAGCACGGCTCGGCAACGTCAATCACGTGAGATGGAGGGCGATTTGGGGCAGAGAGTAACCCATGGCCGTTACACACACATACACACACACACACACACACACACATTAGAGAGCTACCGACTGCACAGCAACTACAACGTAAATCTAATTTTAGAAGAGAAACTGCCCTCTAAAACGGTACCGACACCCAAATGCTCTTCGTATGGTTGGTTGAAGAACTAATAATATTTTAGATTTTTATTGACCGTTAAGACTGGTTATAAAAGTGAGGTTTAGTTCGTAAGACCTGCCAATCATTTTGTTCCAGCTTAAAAATTCAAATAATATAAAACGTAAGGTTCCATTTTGAAAGGAGGTGGATAAAATGGAATTAAAAGAAAATCGGCGTTAAGGTTGTCTTCCCTGCCGAGTTCAAGTGTGCGTATTTATACACACACACAAAATTTCGACTAATAAATGATTTCGTTGACGAGACACTGCCGCCTTGTCTGCTGGAAAAATGTAAGAATGTTACGGAAAACTTACCTTGCCTAGTTATCACAATATCACCTTCATAGTTGCGATTACAATCATTTTATAACTTATATCAAACAGCATTAAAGGGTATAATTGAAGTGCATAGCTCCAGATATTTCAATTGCACATCGAATTCATTCTGAGAAATAATAAAGATGAAGGTTTCAATCCCGCCTTCCTCTTCACAGTGTCAAGAAGAAATGTCTACGCAGTACAGCATCACTTGTTACATACGTACTACTGTGACGACGTATTGCGCCATAAACATAAAATGTATTAACTGATATGGCGGGAACGTAAGCATAGGACTATCTACAGCTTCAATTGAAATGGATTCTTTTTTCAATCCTTCTGGTGGAGAAACATTCGTGAAGTTCAACTGAGGAACGGAAGGATTATAATGAAACTTGAAATTAAACAACTCTATGACACTTTTAGGAGTTTAGAAATTAAGTATTATATTTTTGTAAATGATGAAAGCCACTGGAAGTTTGAATATAATGTAATTCTCATTTCCAAATAAGAAAAACAAGTTTTTGAAGGAGTTAGAAGTGTGAACTATGTGCCATGTAACTCTTTTACACTATTACATAATAAATTACTTGTACTATTTCACCTTCGTAGATTAGCATCTTATGTCACATTTTGTAGTTACATCTTAGTTATCATAATTCTGGAGATAACTGAGTACTTACGAAACATGTTTTATTCTTTTCATATCTGCACACAATGAGAAACAGAATTAGTATTATTTTATATTATATAGGGAGTATTATTTTATATTATGTAGGTTTATAGGGAGCAAATATCAAAGATTGAAACACAACTAAGTTAATAATAAGTTTCGTAATAATATCACAAAATAAAATCCTTTGCTCACAACAAGCATATCTTCACTACATATCTGCACATATATGAATATAAGCCCAGTCCTTACTTTCATCTGACTGACACCAACTACCTTCCTAATTTTCCACAAATCTAACTTATGAATACATGGCACCACACAGCGTTCCTAGATACAAGCTTCACGTGAATTCACGAGAACACGTACGTCTCAGCCCACTAAACACACATCACGGCCCCCCGCGAATTTCCACCGCCCCCCCTCTCCGCCCTCCCGCGCGAAATTTTATTAGCACTCTCCAGCACGCGATTAATACCCCGTCGGAAACGGTAGCGCTGACAAATTTACGACACGCCGCGCCGCGATACAATCCAACGCCGGTGCCACGTACACGCAATACGGACCCATAACTCAATACACGCCTCCAAATATCTTGTCTGGGACCAATTGCTTATACATTCACGACTCGTTTCCACGGCGCGTCACAACTCAGCGACGACATAGGCAGCTCTGGCGGCGGCGGCAGCGGCGGTGGCAGTCGCTCTGCCACTGTTCGTATTATCTCAGATGATTTAGAGCCTTTCGGCAATCGCCGTTTCGCGAGGCTGCCACTAGAGGCGAGCGTGGCGCTTGCGTCGGTGTTTCTGTGGAACTAGTCACGGTGTAAATCCAAATGTGCTCGCCAAGCAACCAGCCTATTTGTGTTTGAGATCCAGATGTGTTGTATGTATACATTCATTGATACATCAGGAATAGATTCTAGGAGTTCTATATTTGGATATATTCAACTGAGCATTAAGAATGCCCTCCTTCACTCTTCTCTTTTTTTTTTTTTTTTTTTGGTATAACTACGGTATTCTGTTGACAACGTTAATCTGCGTTCCGGGACTTGACAAATGGTGGAATGGCATGTAGTGGTGTTCCAGAAAGTTTTGTTTTTAGCTTTTTATGACGTGATACGATGCATATGAATCTGTGAATATAATGTGAAATCGTGTTTTCAGTACTTACCTCATGTATCAGAGAAACGGAGCACAGATGTATTGTTATTTTGTAAAATGGCTTTATTGCGTGATCACTGTAAGACACAGTTCACAATTTCGTTTTATCCATCGTGATATTTATTTTTTTCCTTCAAAACGTCTTGTCAGTCTACTTAAATTAATCAACTGTTCTTGTACAGTACATCCTAAACACCCAATTAATTTGGAAGGGCATAGTAAAACAGAAACGAATATTAAAGAAAGTCATTACTTCAGGTTCGGAAGTTATACCAAATTTACTGAAGGCAGTGGTTAGAAATACGAATAACTTGACACTGCATTTGACCATTTCAAGAATCAATAACATACATTCGATATCTTAATTTGTTTAATACATTTCAAATTGTCTTTGATTTAAAAAAAACATTATGTGATAATTGAGGGAAATTGAAACTGAGAAAAAGCAACCCACTGAAGGGTCACGTTCGTTTTATAAAGTTTTTCTTTCCTGTAAGTCTACATTTTTCTATCTTAAAACACCAAGTAAATCAGAATGGTCCTCATTGTCAGAATCTGAACTAACAGATCAGCAACATTTAGACTATAAGAAAACTGTGGCATTCATAAAATCTTCCAAATGATTTTCTATGTAATTCCTCACGAAACCTTACGTCAGAGACGCTTCCAGGATGTTCATTTCATTATCAACAACACAAGCGAGGATCCTCGCTTTGTGGCGAACATCCACTAACATTCCGACCGATTTACTCAAAGAGTTGAGGTAATTCGTGTTGGGGTGCGGGAAGATCTTTTCAAGAAACTTCTAAAGCATACGGATTAACGTAACACGTTTAGAATGCGCGTATTTAATTTATTAGAAATACTTCAATAGTAATTACGTGAGTGAAATAAGCGCAGATAATCACACTGTGTTTTTGGTGGCGCACCCAATGTGGGAGGTGGTACCTTGAGGGGTTTCAGAATCACCCCCAGAGAAAAATTATGAATAATTGTGTATTTAATATGTATGAATATTACACAATATAGCAAATATGGCCTTTGCTAATTTTGTGTTCCAACAAAAGTTATTTTAATACGTTTTATACTTTAATATAAGTTAAAAAATAACAAAAGTATTTTATTTTTAGCGTAATTGAAAAATTATTTGTCTGATTAAACATCAAGTCTGTTGGACACTATACCCTTATTACCCCCCTCCTTATTCAAAAACACACGTTGACACGTCTCTCAAGAACGATAAATGTTATTTTTCTCACATAGTCGTCGTTTGAAGGTACAAACGGTATTCAAGATAATCAAATAATTCAATCGCAAAAAATTTTAAGGGAAAAGTATTAATAAAACGATTTTAGTTTGATAAATCTCAAAATACAAATAATTTCGCATTCTGATTTAAAGGGTGAGGAGTGTACAGCCTAAACATTGACTCATTCTTATCAATGAGTATAAATTTTATAGAGGCTCATCTTTATCTTAAATACTCTAACAAGTGAAAGTTTAAAATACTTCATGCTACTGATTGTCTGCTCTATTATGAGCAAAGTTTTGATCACCCAGTTTCGTGTTCAAGTTGTGTCCTTCGGGGATTCTGCACTTAAGCATCGGGGAGAGAGTTCTAGATATTAATAGCAGAAATTCCGACGCAGTGGGATAGTTCAACGAAAACACAACGAAGACTAATGTATCTACATCGTACTCCTACAGCGATATAACTCCTCGCTACCTCCCGACCAGAAATTTTAAGCAATTGAGATTTCACTTCTTCGTATGGAATTCACTAGTATTGGAGTGAGCTTCCTGAAATGTTACGCCAAAATTAATTTCTGTCAAAATTTTGATAATTTTATCTGCATGGGCATATATATATATATATATATATATATATATATATATATATATATATATATATATATATATATGGTTCTAAAATGTATGTCGATGTTAAAATGGTAATAGTCGTCATTTTTAGAGGTTTTTTGCTACTTATCTGCTTTACTCCGGACGTTATTTAGTGTGACACACATTACGACGTAAGATGTACTCTTTATTTACTTCTCTTCTTAGCAACGACTAAAGCTGCTCCTTTTGTAAGACGCAGCATTCCAGTTTATGTGCAGTGTTATGCGGTGCAGTAGCTCTCTTACGCCAGAGAGTGTTTCGTTACGATCGCTCTGAACCGGTTCTGATGTTCAGGAAACATTATGCACGTTACTTCGGAACATACGTGGTCGAAAACAATTGTTTTACGCAGTGGTCCCTACCAGGGTAAAGGAATGACTAGGGTCATGCACGACAGTTAAGTTGGAAATTCAATGAAATATTTCGTCAATTTTGCACATTACAATGCATTGAATTTCGAAAAGTGAAACGAAGTACGAAAACGTTTTTCATTAACTTTTGAGAGTTTTCTTAGAGTACATCCCTGTATAAAACGTTACAAACCTTTTAGTAACATCTTATATCTCTGAGGAAGACATTCAAAGTACTTAAAATTCTCATTGCCTTTTGAGACAAAATATGATGATATTTTTGGTGTATTTCATAGAAAAAATTACAAGTAAGAAATAAAGTATTTCTTCAGAGAAGAAGGAACACCCCTTTCCAACATACACATAACATTCAATACACTTACAGGACAAGTAACTTCAGTAATACACGCGTTCAAAAGTTTTACTCACTCCATATACTAGAGAAAGATTCGCATTAATGGAAATGTTTTATCGGCCCTTAAAAATTCTTTCTTCAGCGGAAAACATTAAACAAACAATTCTGCAAATTCAATTTCAAATTATACTATCACTGGACAGGGGTAACTGTCGGGTAAAACATTTACAATCACCTGCCCTCAGGCTTCTCGCAAACAAACACGACTTGTTTCCAAATGCGCCCTGCCAGCGCCTGCGGAGGTGAAGGAACGCTTTCCGAACAAACTAGCGGGCGGAGGCGGCGGCTTCAGGAGAATCGAAACCGGCCGCCGGTAAATGATGGGATGATAACATGAATTTAGAAGGATGATACTATTCGACATTCTTCCTATAAACATTTGCAAATAGAAAATAAAGTATTCATTCACGGGAAACCCATTGTTATAAAATATAGCATGCGCTACCCTTACGAGACAAATGTCTTCAGTAATTCTCCGTTTGTCTCGCCAAAACTCACTCGCATACACTAATAGAAGGAGAATTCGATGGAATGAATATGTTTATCATCGCCCCACCAAATGCTTTCTTCAGCGGAAAACAAACAATTCTGCGAATTCTCTTTCGAATTAGACAGTCGCTCTACGGACGGGAGTAACGATTGGGTAAAACATCTACAACCTCTCCTCAGCGCTGCTCGAACAAACCGCCCTGTTTCTAAACGCGCCCTGCGAGCGCTTGCGGCGGTGGAGGAACGCTTGCCGAACGCGCTCGCGGGCGGCGACAGGAAAGCGCCGAACCGGCCACCGGTAAATGATGGATGAAACTATGGATTTAGGAGGATGATACTATTCGACATTCTTCCTATAAACATTTGCAAATAGAAATAAAGTATTCATTCAACGGGGAACTACCATTGTTATAAATATAGCATGCGCTACCTTACGAGACAAATGTCTTCAGTAATTCTCCGTTTGTCTCGCTCACGTCTCACTACATCTAATAGAGGAGAATTCGATGGAATGAATATGTTTCATCGCCCCACCAAATGCTTTCTTCAGCGGAAAACAAACAATTCTGCCGAATTCTCTTTCGAATTAGACAGTCGCTCTACGGGACGGGGTAACGATTGGGTAAAACACCTACAACCTCTTGCCCCTCGCGCTGCTCCGAACAAACACGCCCTGTTTCTAAACGCGCCCTGCGAGCGCTTGCGGCGGTGGAGAACGCTTGCCGAACGCGCTCGCGGGCGGCGACAGGAGAGGCGCAACCCGGCCACCGGTAATGATGGGATGATACTAGGATTTGGAGGATGATACTATCGACATTCCTTCCTAGAACATTGCAAATAGGACAAAAAAAATCATTCCTCCAACAGGAAACTACCATGATATAAATATAGCATGCTCTGCCTTACGAGACAAATGTCTTCAGTAAATTCTCCGTTTGTCTCGCCCACAAAACTCACTCGCTCACTCATAATAGAAGGAGAATTCGATGGAATGAAATATGTTCATCGCGCCCCACCAAAATGCTTCTTCAGCGGAAACAAACAATTCTGCGAATTCTCTTTCGAATTAGACAGTCCGTAACGGGACGGGAGTAACGATTCGGTAAAACACCTACAACGCTCTTGCCCTCGCGCTGCTCCGAACAAACACCGCCCTGTTTCTAACGCGCCCTGCGAGCGCTTGCGGCGGTGGAGGAACGCTTGCCGAACGCGCTCGCGGGCGGCGACAGGCGAGGCGCACCCGGCGCAGCGGGCCGCCTGCAAGAATGCGTAATGCCTCACGATCGATGGCCGATGGTCCCCGCGGGCGAAAGCGGTGGCGCGCTGAAAATTTGATCCTCGCGCCGGCCGACACGGGACGCTGCGAGCGAACGCCTGTCCGATGAATATTTCCCGGTGCGAGGGGTGGCGGGAGGGGGAGTCAGGGGGGACGCACCGGGTGTCGACTTCGCGTCCCGTCGCAGCCGGCGGATTCGGGCGTCGCGGCGGGGCGAGAACGGTGTCGAGGTCCCGTGCGTGCGGTTTTGGAAAACAGGAGCGACAAGAACACGACTCCCGCGCTCTTCTGGTCGGTGAGGAAAGCTCGCGGAAGGAGACGTGAAAACGCTTATGTCGCCCGCCATGGAAACCATCACAGGGGAATAGAATGAACGTGATATGGATTTTGAAATTGTGACATATATACCGTTGGGTGAAAAATCATAAACGTTTCAGTTATCTGATACCAATTTGTCCAGGGTCATCCTTACCAGATGTGCCATAATGTATTCAGACGACGAGCGTAACAGTGGCCTAACTGCTTTCTTCCTCGAGATCAAAAGTGGCCTAACTGCCATCTCCTACTCATAGTATTTAGACCGCTTAGCTCAAGGGGCCAAAAGCTGTTGTATCACTGTTCTGATATATGCCTCAGGATGTGAATCAGCTACTATTATCACCCGGAGCGACAGGAACACGGCTCCTGTGCTTTCTGGACGATGACGAAAGATCGCGGTATGAGACGTGGAAAGCGCGTACGTCACTCTTTGCAGGAAAGATCACAAGAGAACAGGATGAACGTGATGTAGAGATTCGGCTTGTGACATTTGTCATTGAGTAGAGAATCACAAACGTTTCAGTTTTGTGATGTCAATTCCCATGGTCATCCCTACCAGTTATGCCATAATTTATTGAAGCAACGAGCCCAACAGTGGCTCAACTGCTTTCTACCTCGAGATCGAAAGTCGCCTGTCATCTTCTATTCACTGTGCTTGTGCCACTTTGATTAAACGGCAAACGCTGTTACACCACTGCTGCGCTCACCGTCTCAATTTAAGGTGTGATTCGGTTACTATTAGTTCTCTAAACGTCTGTTGTGCCGTTTAAAATATAGAAAACCTGTTTTAGAGCATTTAAAGATATATCTACTCACAATTAAGTTCTTAATTTCTTCCCAACACTTATACTGCCGGTATATTTGAGGAAGCGCCGAAGTTTCGAAAGGTTGCCAAACTAGGACTTTAAGTAAGTGACCAACATCCACTAACTATTCTGAGATTAAAACAGTAAGTCCCTTCACTTCCACGAGTTGGCAGGAGAAGGAACATTGTCATCCAATCGCGAGCTTTGTTTCCTTCCTGTGGCTTTTTCCAGCTTTAGATAATGTCGATTTCGATTATCCCAGCCGGGTACCCGCAATGCCCCTCATGGGGACACATAATAACCTTTACACTAGATACTGATACACGAACTCAAACGGTGGTCAGCAGACTTACAAGACCTTCTGCGACATCTCACATACATCAAATACAGGGATCAAACAATTATTCTCACGACAGAACTCGAACCTGCAACGCTTTAGACCAAAGCGCTGAGTCTATACACGCTCTAACCACATCGGCCATCCAGGTAGACAATTACGAGCTTCCTTACAACTTAAATGTTTGTTATTGAAGCTCTCGATTGTATGAGAGTGCCCCCCTCTCTTTTCAGTTCCTTCCCTTGCAAGGACATGTTGTATTAAGACTCCCACGGACCGGCGCGGAACACCCGCAACCTATGCGGAATGTCCGCAGCGGAAATTTCGCTTCACGTGTTGCCTCACGAGCACGTTCATAACTGCGCGTCAGGCGAGCATCGCAACAGCGGATTAGCAGTGTTTAATCCGCGTCAGATTTTGTAACGCAGTCGGACGCGTTTTTTTTACCGCTGCTGCTCGTTTCGTTTCGTAGAAGTTTTGTTGAAGTCCGCTCGCCTTCGGGAGTCTTCGCTCCCCTCTGGTTCGGGCTCCCGTGCCTATGTTTATCGGATGAGGAAAACTGTCACCAAACGCTGAGTCATAATTGACGCTGCTGTGTGAACGGATCCGCGGATTTCGCGGATCCGCGTCTAGCGAGGAACTTTCCGCGCCGCACCCGTCGCGGATCTTCTGCGCCGGTCTGTAGAAGCCTTTGATGTAGCTGCCTTCCCAAGAGCAATGAAATTTCGTGTTTTTAAAAATTTTTATTGGGTCGTATGCTCTGTTTTCTTTTCTTTTAAATGCTTCACACTGCATCTTGCTATCATTTTTACTTTTTGATAAAATAATTTGTTTCGAACCGAATGTCAACTGTCAAGCCCCTTAGTGAGTAAACCTCAAATGTATTTCACCGAATTGGGAATTTTCAGCACATTCATGCACTTCAAACATCTTAAATAAAAAACTACTAAAGATAACAATATAATAATTTTTGCAGCATTTAACTCATAAAATTATAAAGCGAAATAACTAGAATACTTAAACTGTCACTTAAAATATCAATTTTTTGAACTGAAATGCCCAGAAAAAATTTAACAACAATTTTTTTTTAAATATGCAAGTCCTTACTTTTCACAGTATCTTTATCATTTTAGTTCATTCACTAGATACTTCAATTGTGATTAATTTTAAAAATTAAAAATAAAAATATATGAATTTGTGGAAAGGCAACGACGTTTGAAGAAAAAACCTGTATTTCTGCCAATTATTTATAAACAAATTGAAAAAATATTTTTTTTTAATTTGATAGCAAAAATCATGAAGAAATCAAACTTACAAAGCAAATAAATAGATCCCAAAATCCTACATTATTTCTTGGGAAGCCAGTCATCTTAATCGTGGTATATTCCAAGTATTACGTGTATATTCCGTAAAGTTAGTAGTATATTCCGAGTTTTAATCCCGAGCCCTTCCTATTTGGTGCGTGCGCAGGTGTGGAGCGCGCCGCCGGCGACGCGCGTGTCGCCCGCGCAGGTGGAGCCGCTGGAGCCCGGCGGGCTGGAGGTGGCGCGCGGCGCCGTCGACATGGAGGCCAGCGCCGCCACCTTCGTGGACGGGCGCGCGCGCCTGCGCTGCCTCACCACGCTCTTCACCATCGACCGCCAGACGGCCGAGGTGGAGCTGGTGGAGGACACGCCGCAGATCGCGCCCGTCATGGGCCCCACCGCGCCGCACTCGCTCGGTGAGTACGCCGCGCTCGGGAAAATCGCCTGGTCGGTTTTTCCTCGTCCCCGCTTCCTGGCTAGTTAGTTTTCCTCACTCCCCGATTCCTAGCAAATTATTTCACTGGTCGTTACCCAAGAATGCATAGCCCGTCTGCATCCCATGGTCAGTTTCCATCACCGCTTCCCTGCCAATCCTCTTTAGATTTTCTTTGTCTGAGAAGGCATACCCCGACTGCATCCCGCGGTCAGTTTTCCTCACTCCCCGCTTCACAGCAAATTATTTCGCTGTTCGTTACCCGAGAAGGCTTATCCCGACTACATCCTGCGGTCAGTTTTCTTCACTCCCCGCTTTCAAACTAATCCTCTTTCTTTCTTCGTTACCAGAGAAGGTATAGTCCGACTGCATCCCGTGGTCAGATTCCCTCACCTCCGCTTCCCAGCTAATCCTTTTTTTCTTTTCTTTACCCGAGAAGGCATTGCCCGACTCCATCCCGCGATCAGTTTCCCTCACTTCCCGCTTTCCTGGCAATCCTCTTTCGATTTTCTTTACCTGTGAAGGCATACCCCGACTGCATCCCGTGGTCAGTTTTCCTCGCTCCCCGCTTCACAGAAAATTATTTCACTGTTCGTTACCCAAAATGGCTTATCCCGACTACATCCTGCGGTCAGTTTTCTTCCCTACCCACTTTTAAACTAATCCTCTTTCTCTGTTCGTTACCAAACAAGGTTCAGCCCGACTGCATCCCGATCTGTTTTTCTTCACGCCGCTTACAAGCCAATCCTCTTTCGCTTTTCGTCACCTGAGAAGGCATAGCACGACTGCATTCCGCGGTCAGCTTTCCCTCACCTCCCCTTTACAGCTTATCATCTTTCGCTCTTCCTGAAGATGCATAGCTCGTCTGCATGCGGTCAGTTTTTCCTCACCGCCATTTCCGCGTATTAAGGCAGCCTTTGGCCCAAGGTACACGCAAGTTTCTGTTTTTTACTTAAGTTTAATTATTCATATTTACTTATTTAGTAATTAACTAGATGTGAACTAGACTCGGTTTCTCATTTCATATTTCCCTCCAATCATTCCCATTTATAATTGGCTTCCGAGATTTCCTACACAAGTAAGTTATTCAGTGTATATCGAGCCCCTTATCAAAGGCAATAATTAGCAATAACTTATCAGTAAAAAATAATCACCTTTTAACATACAGAAAACTCCATTTTGAACATTAATATTGGTCAGGGCGACGGAAAAACCGTTTAAGAATATATTGGCATGTACAATTAAAAAACAAACGGAAATGGAGATTTGTCACTGTACAAATAAGTCTTTAATTTTGATGTCGTGTTGCGAATATTATCAATTTTCGAACAACATTTCTGGACAATTTGGCGAGGTAAAAGATAGATTTTTGCAATAGATATTTTACAAACTCTATCTGTTACATTTTCACCATTCACCGTTCCTATATTCTTTTATTAACTAATTATAAAACATAGTGACCCGTGGTGAAGCGGTCAGAACCTTCTTTTTTCACCTCTGGGTGCCGGACTTTAAATTCCAGTCCATATAGGGACGGTTTAAAATCTTGAAGAGCCCGATTTGGCCACATATAATGGTCATGTTGAATATATGTATCAAAAATCAATAACAAAATAAACTATAGCATTTAAAAAAAGAATGTTCAAAATATTAAAATAAGTGTATTGTAACGCTTATATATCTAGAGAGAGACATCAATTCTTAAATGTGGGTTACAGAGATGCGAGACGGGAAATCCACATTGGAAGAATCTGATGAAATGTATATGATTTCCCTGTGCATTATCTTCGATATCTTCCGATACTCACATTCTTAAACATTTACAACATCATTTTTATACATTTATACTGAAATAATATTTTGTATTAGAAATAATCCTATAAAAAGCATATCTCACTGGCATTATTGTACATTCTACAAAGGATTAAATTGTCCTAAAATGATCCGGTCGTGTGAATAAATGACAAAAGAATGATACGTGAATAAATGGGAGAAGAATGATGTGTGAAGATAATGATAGAATAAAAATGTACAAAGGAGTATCAGCTGTTTAGATATAACGGCTTGTCACCATATTTGTCAACGCCTACATTACACAAACAGTGTTCTATTCCTTTGTTCCGAAGTCACATGTTCACACACATGAATTTGGATTTGGAAGAGTTACAATAAAATAAACTATTCTATTGAAATTTACATTCACAAGTTTTAATTGTTCAAAATTCGCACTAAACCTAGTGCGCATGAACCGCACGTTACTAGATAACTTAACAACCCCACAATATTTGAAACAATTTATTAAATGAGTTTCATTTAATTATACAATAAACCAATTATGTACCAATTATGTGTATATAAAAACTCTGAAAAATAATTTACTGACTGGTGTTGATAAAATGGGCCTGGGACGTAATTGTAGATTCCAATAGAACTTTGATTCTAAACAAACGGCTCTGAATACGAATTTTTTGCACCTATACAATATTCCCACACAGCTCCACACACCTCCATGATCACCGAATGTGAATTCAACTGAACACTCGTGGAGGTACCTGCATTCTAAAGTTAGACAAAGGCAGATTTCAAGTGAAATGGACACACGGCTATCTTAAAGGAGACTTCGGGCACTAGATAATAATAAATGAAATCTAACAAAATTTTAAGTCTAAATTTTATTAATAATAAACAAATTAAAAAATTGGAGTAAACGAATAGTATTTCCACGCCAGAATAATGGTTCACTTTATTTTTTCCTTGTTTTCTAATATAAAATAATTATTTTGTCGTCAATTTCTGTATTCTTTCAATAAAAGAGATATTGGAAGAAAATTCCTTTTGTCCGATTTATTATACTTCTTCATCAACACAGCGTGTCCATTCATATTATCATATTATCGACGTTTTCATAAAATACAAGGAGTACAAATACTTTTGACACTGACTGTAAGTACCATCAAAATATGTTCAAAAATTTAATGCAATACGTGTTGTCAAAGGAGCACTCAATTTTTTCTCGGTATGTGTGCGAGTGCATGTGGGGGTGAAGGTAAAGGGTCCAGTTGATGGTTTCTTATAATTATTTTATGCTAAATACAAAATATATTTTAATTTTTTGACTTATAGTCAATAATTATAACGTTACTAATATTATTGAATGACATCTGTCAGTACAGAGAGAGAAATATATATATATATATATATATATATATATATATATATATATATATATATTTGAATGTATATCATTAGCTTCAGGGGAGGGCCTTAATGTCCATGAGTCGTGGATGGTCCACAGCATATTGTTAAAATAAAACACAAAGCGTTTGTTTAAGAAGTTAAGGTGCCAGGCACGATCTACTTGTGAATAGAAATACAAAAGTAAAGCGACTAATGAATCACACGCGGAGAGCCGTGGTTGGTGGTGGCCGAGAGGACAGCGAGTGTATGGAAGGCGGGAGGGGAAGAGCCACTTGCTGTGGAGCGCCCATCGCTTGGAGGGCGTCCACAGGCCAATTACTCTTCTTATGGCCGCGCGGCGGCGGCGATGGCCGCGGCGCGGCGCGGGGCGGGGCGACGGGCGAAAGTGTGTGGGGGGAGGGGGAGGAGAAGAGGGAGATAGCGAGAGGGTCGAGGGCGTCGGGAAGGGGCGAGAGCCCTCTAGCGCCCACTCAATCGCTTCCCTCTCCCTTCCCCACCCCTCCCCTCTCCACCCCTTCCAGGCGCCCTACGTCAACTCCACGAGTACTCCGGCGCTCGACAGATGCACAGAATGCGCTTGGCGAGAATCCGGCGATTTGAAACCGCAATCGCCTTGGGCAGCACAAAGGGCAGTGGTGCTCGGTTTGGCGGCTGTATTCAAATTTATTACTTCTGCGTTTATTAAAAAATAATTTGTTTTCATGTTCAAAATATTGGTCTTCACGGAATCATTACCATTTCGGAATATTTAACGTAGTTGTGAAATAAAAGTTAGAAATGAATATAACTCAAAAAATAATTATCTTCAAGTTAAATTGAACGCTATAATCAAGCTTTGTTTAGCATACTTTACAATCCGATGTTTCAACTGTATTTTAATAGCATTTATTTTTTCTGAATTTTAAAAGTGGTGCATTACACGTAAACCCGGATGATATACACGAAAATCACACACTATTGCATTTCATTAAAAAAATGACCAAATAGGTAAAACATTTAAAATCGTAAATAAATTAAAAACAAGGCACTGCAATCAGTAATCAATTTTCTTAAAAATTTTCTTTGTGTGAAAATATATAGGAATTTGTGGCAGTCTTCAGCCTTAACAAATTATATTATCATTACATAAGTATTCAGCACTTTGAATTGAATATCTACTAACACTAAATAAGCCTGCATTCTTTGGACCGTCCAAAACTTCATTTTATTTTCAGTGAAAAGCTGAACCGACAAAAATAGAACAATTTACCAACCTTTATCCGGATCAAACTATGAAGTACGTTACACTTGCTGCGTTTGTTTTCTCTGTGATTTGAGAGACTATGAGGCAGTTTCTTTTCCAACCATTTTAGCAAGTTAAAAACTTTTCATCTCGAATCTGTAGAACGTGCTCTCTTCTACCATCCCCCGCCCTTCTTCGTTCTCGGAAGAAAGATGTAAGAAAACTCCGATTCTTTTACCACATCAAAGTGAGTCAGCAAAGAGGCAGATTTTCGTATGTAGAACTAGTACGTACTTGATGGAGCTGTCACTGCGATAACTGACAATACGGTTTTGAAAATTACGCAGTATCAATTCGTTTTTTTCTTTCACACTTTTTCCAAAGCACTCGTGCTATTACTTATAAACATGTTCACAAATAAACGATTAGGAATCAACAGACTCATTGATAAGATATTTGAAATAATATAGAATCTCTATTACATTAACTTTGGAATAGCGACAATTATTGATTTATTTTCTTAAAAAAATTATCATTGAGTAATTTTTTCTCTCTTGTGATGTTTAAAGCAAAAACACTACGTTGCCTGTCCTAACAAAGTGATGTAGCAAATAATTCTTATGTGCCAGAAAGCTCCTTTTCTGTGTTTTCCTATAAGACGAGTAAAATTGATAAATCACTGCCACATCTAGAGTTTTTTGAAATATATCCTTCAATTTGGCAATGACAACTTACGGTTCAAAAGTTTTTTGTAATGCGTAAAGAATAGTTTATGGACGTGAAGCAACTTGTAAAGATTTCCTGTCTAGTTCAAAAACGCTACATACCTGTCTCGTGTAGAAATGGAAAAATGATTAAGCCGCTCGATGTGTATTCCTCTTGCATCCATCTTGTTGCAAACATCGGTTTTCTTTCACTGCACTTGGATACTCCGAATGTTAAAAACACTCCGTGTAGTACACCACAGTTCAAAGCCACGAAATGAGAAGCGTGCGTCGCAATCAAGAGCTGGCACCAACTGAGGAACGCCGCCACTTCGCTGTGAAACCGTCGCCGTCGCGAAACCTTGGGCGACGTAGTACAACTAGCACCGGCTCGAGGACCTCCCAGCATTCCTCCAGGATCTGCCAACAACGAGTCGCCTTGAAGGCGGCACCGCACGCCGCGAGGGGAGGTTCGCTCAAGGTCGCGGAGAGTTCGCAACCGCCTATCTGAGCATCGCGGTAAATAACGGGATCCGATGCCAACACACTCCGTCAGCGCTTGGATTCAGGGCATCGTAGCTCGGAAAATACCCGGGGCACATCCGGGTTAACCCCCCCCCCCCCCATCACTCCCTGCCCCACTGAGGTCGGCGCGCTATGCCACACGGAAATCGCAATGACACTACTGCTGTTATTACGCGATCAGCGATCGCTGTACAGTATGTTCATGATTACAAGTTGAAATAGATTAAACTGATTATTCCACTCGTGAAATTAAAACCAATAGTGTTTAACTCTACATTCAAAAAGCCCCAATTAAGGCGGTGTATCTCAAAAAGTGTTTCGCTTTTCCTCTTCGATTTTTCTTACCGGTCTTCCGTCTGGCCAATCATAAACTGTGCCTCATCTATAGTACAAGGTGTCATACATCAATCGCTATGTTTATGTCTAAGAAACTACGAAAATTTATCTATGAGCTGATCCATATCCAAGCAGTGACTACCAAGGTAGCAAATAAATCACAATAATATGAAATTTGTAGAAGATATGTTCTAGTAAACTGAAATATGATCAATGTTACACTGCTCACATATTTTTCACGTTATTTCTTTAGCGGTTAACTATCACACCCTTCTTCCCCTACGCACAGGTATGTCGAGGCCAGGAAACATAGAAATGTTCTCATGAGCATCGCTAAACTCAAAGTGAACCAAGAACACTGCAAAATAAGTTAAATGCATTCACTATGAAGAAGTAAATTCATGAATTTGTATTGTAAAATATACAACAGTTCTTCTCTGTAGCTAGAAAAAGACACATTTCTTTCTGAAATTCATAGCAGGTTTTGACGAACAACGTTGTTTTTTAACAATAGAAGATATCAGAATTTAAAATCAACAAGTTACTTGTTTTGAAACTGGTAAATATTTTACTCTTGAAGAATGAAGAATCTCTTCCAGAACACATAATATATTTAACAAAAGATACTTCGTTTAAACACTACTAGTCGCTTCTTAAAACAAGTCTGTTGTTTCAAAAAGTGCAAAAAAAAGTAATAAAAACATGCTTCATGAAATTGATCATTGATATAATACTTAAATTACTTTGAAGGCCTGAATTACACCAGTTGAAATTATGTACACCTACTACTGCTACGAGTACATCTGTATTTCATCTGTCCGTCTGTACTTGGTCAACCACGAACGAGGCTTGACCTGACGTACCTCGCGCGACGGCAGGGCGCGTTGCCC